CCATTACCTGTGGTTTCCAGAAACACGCCATTACCTGTGGATTAAAGAAACACGCCATTACCTGTGGACTCAAGAAACACGCCATTACCGGTGGATTAAAGAAACACGCCATTACCTGTGGATTAAAGAAACACGCCATTACCTGTGGTTTCAAGAAACACGCCATTACCTGTGGACTCAAGAAACACGCCATTACCTGTGGACTCAAGAAACACGCCATTACCTGTGGACTCAAGAAACACGCCATTACCTGTGGACCCAAGAAACACGCCATTACCTGTGGACCCAAGAAACACGCCATTACCTGTGGACCCAAGAAACACGCCATTACCTGTGGATTAAAGAAACACGCCATTACCTGTGGACTCAAGAAACACGCCATTACCTGTGGACTCAAGAAACACGCCATTACCTGTGGACCCAAGAAACACGCCATTACCTGTGGACCCAAGAAACACGCCATTACCTGTGGATTAAAGAAACACGCCATTACCTGTGGTTTCAAGAAACACGCCATTACCTGCGGATTAAAGAAACACGCCATGCTAAAACGTCAATCTCAGTGCATAAAACAAATTATGTTTAGTGCATTCACGCAACTCGTTATGTACCCTGTATTCAAACAACACGTGATGCATTCAAACGCCTCGCCATGCGCCATGCATTCAAGGAGGTGTCATTCATCCAAACAAAACATGATGCGTCATGCATTAAAGCAAAACGTCATGCATTCAATCAAGTAACACTTCATGCATTCAAGCTAAACATCATGCGCCATGCATTCAAGTAACACGTCATGCATTCAAGCAAAACATTATACGCCATGCATTCAAGCAAAACATCATTCATTCATTCAAGCAAAAATTTATGTACTCATCCAAGATACACCTCAGGCACACACCCAACTAAAACGTCATGCGCCGTGCATTCAAGGAATATGTCATGCATCCAAACAACACGTCATGCGCCATGCATTCAAGCAAAACGTCGTGTATTCATTCAAGTAAAACGTCATGTGCCGTGCATTTAAGTAAAACGTCATGCTCCGTACAATCAAACAACAAGCCATATTACATAGATTTAAGCATCGTGTTATGTCCCTTGCAGGTGGACACCACGTCTTTCGTTGAAACTGCAACCAACAATTAAATCAATTTTTTATATAAGAAGCTATCACAGTGTACATATCCCAGTAAAATGTTGGCCGATTCCTGGAGATCAGATGACACATATCCACGAGGTCTCTCGTACTCAAAGACATCGCTGAATGTGTTATGGACATGAATTATATAGCACATGTAGATATATGTATGTAACGTGATGGCGAGAGGTCGTTAATCTTGTAAACTAAAATGTCAGGTGATTACTTACAGCGTGAACTTTTCCAACACAATATATAAATTACGGATCATTTGATAAATGGATGCTCCATTTGTGTGGGTAGATATTTCAAGCTTGGAGTTACATCACTCGGTAATACGTTACAATACATTGTAGTAAATACCTGACATGTTATTACTACCATTTAATCAACTTTTAATGCATTTATTCAGTAAATTAACCGAAACAGCAGGTACCCGTTGGTGACGTTTAGGATTATTCTATCTTCAGGCATACCAACACAAAACACAGCAAGTACACTATACAGTCTTCAACACCAGAAAATTCAAATACCAATAAAAACTGGTCTGGCAAAACTATCGGTCACTAATATAGTGCCAGACTTAATTATAGTACACTTTAGTGCGTGGTCATTCAACGGAAACCTCGTCCGACTTTTTCATATTAGTTGGGACAGTCCTTTAATGTAGCAAATCAATCACACATTACGTTTATTCAAAAGACTTGACTCTTGTTGACATTTCGGCCAGTCTCCGTCGGTCCTACCATAACCTCATTCGTCGTTATCAGCTTTTGAATAGAAAAATAATCTGATGTGAAGTCTAATATCCGTAGAGGGATATCATCCGGATATCAATCATGATAATTGCCTAGCCATCTATATCCAGACTTGATCCGATCAAAGACAATTACAGAATTACATTCTAACCGAGGCCAGGGATGGCTCTCTAATACTCAAGTGTATCCCTAAATCACTTTAGTCGGATTTAACCATCTATTAATGCAAAAATACAACAAAAAGATTGCTACAGCAATATTCGGTGTCGACAAAGTTCCCATGTATTCAACATTTTTATTTGAACCAAAACATCTTTTTCATGTCATTGGGAGTTCGTAAACATATTACCTTCCCACAATGCTTAATACAGGTCAAGCAACTATCGATTCTACGAAATTCTGCCTGTACAGTCCCTATATTCTGTTAAACTTGGGCTGATGTCATTTCCGCCGAAGCGAAATAACTTCCGGTATGATATCGATGGTAGACGTAGTTTCCGGTAGTGATTTTATATCTGATAATGTATCTAGTAAATAGAAGACCGCTTTTCTTGTTATAAAATAAGATTAAACTCGTTTACAAAAAAATCTATTTTGCTATTGAATTGCAGTGACATATACTTGACATGACGACCGTCGCCGGACAATAGTATTTACGAATAAACAATAAAAAAAGGCATGCGAGGACCCGATTTTCCCTGTAATTTCCGGCTGTCATGTAATATTTCACTTATCTGAAAACCCACATAACACCGTGGTCATATGATATGTAAAGATGTAAATCCATATAAAAAGAAAATATTTCGGACATTCCAGACGAGCTCTTCTTTTCTGACTTTCTAGTGTTACAGTTCTGTAAGCTATCACGAATGGTATCCTATTATGGTGTTAATGTCGCTGATCTAAATTCTATCAACATATAATAAGCCCCATCCCCAAGCAAAATTAACAGGGTATATTTGTTTAAATACACGATAAAAGTTATCTATCAGCTGATGTTTCCTTCCAATCAAGGGCGGAAAAGTTTATCTGACAAAAGATTCTTCGCCGAAAAAAAGCAAAAAAAAAAAACAATTTTTATTACGTTTTCATCTAAATTCTTTTTATCCGCTAAATATCATTTCAAAATACATTAGTAATAAAAAGAACTATTCATCACAAGTTTTTGCCGTCAAATTTCCATAAAAAATATTAATTTTGATTATCTTTGCAGGTTTAATGTTTTTTGCAGTCGTTAGGGGTATTCCCGTAGAGAAATCTACAGTGAATCTCTAGGAGAGACTAAACAGTCTTACAGCTGGAGTATGTCGTTAGGGAGCCAACCATGCATTAAAGACATAGTATTCCTTTTTCTTTAATAAGAATTGAAGAAATGACGAAGTATGCCATTTGCCCGAAGCAGTCCCTGCTGAGTTACAGATACAAATTTAATCTTTATTAAGTCACCGGTAAAACAACTCAAACACAAATTAATGAAATAGACACACTGTTTTATCACTGGAATTTTCTTTTCATTTGTTTGATAATTATATTGTATGTATTTTAAATCGTGGTGTGCCTGTTTTTGTTATGTGTACCCGTGGAGATGATAGGACAATAATTATATCAGGTTGGTGCCGCCGAGGCGGAGTGAAAGATTGCACACTTTAAGTGTCATGTAAACACCATTTGTTTATTGTTGACGAGCGATACAAATGTATATTATCTCAAAAATAGTTTAAAACACTTCCACAGCGTGATCGTGTCAGCGGTACTGTATCATTTTCAATGCTAAAGATGAACCATTGTTCGTTGTCCTGGATAGCTGTTGATTGTAAACAAACTGTCTATTGTGCTATAAAACATGAAAACAAGATACTGTTTTACTATAGAAGCATTCCCCAAACTATCCTGGTATTTTCGTCGTTGCATGCCAATGTTTAATGGGAGTGTGACTAACTTATTTGTATAACGTTTTTCTTTAAGAATAGGAAAATGTTTTTTATGACGTCATACACAAAACATCGTTTTCCCAGAAACGTACACTGGTACTTAAGGCCCTAAAACTAGATCTCACCTAGTCATTTCTGGAACATGTTCTGTCATTTTTTTAACAAAGGTTGTGGAGCGGCTGTATCGCCATTCACTCAGTAGAGGTACTGTAGGTACAGGTGGATGACGTGAAGATCATTCTGAATGACCTTTGACCTATGACGACAATGACCTACTAGTACTCACTACTAGAGGTCTTGTTCGTACCGTAGGTCAGTAGTGCAAATGTAGCGAAATATGAAACAAACTGCCATGACTGCCATCTTGAATATCACATGGGTCTAACGCATAAAGACCATGCCCTGGGCTTACTTACTCGCAAAAGCTCCGTCTTTATACCCTGTAGTGTGAAACCAATACAAGTAGCGACAGGTGATAACGATGACGGTCCTGCATTTCTTACTCTCGAGTACCTGGTCCGGATGGGACATTTCAAGATGGCAGCGACGACGCATCTTGTTAACGGTAGTACCGACATCCCTGATGTTTATAATCACTATACCAGTTATCGCACAATTGTATGCAGTGGAGATCTAATGACAGAAATGTTGGACATCATCAATGTGAAAAGTACAAACGATCACCGAAATTGATGTATCATTCATCTGATGTTGATGTTTATTGTACAATGTAACCGAGAATTTGACGTGGGTAGGATGCATTTCTACTGGTTTCTTTGTTGATTTATCTTAATATGTTAACAGTGTGGGTGTTTTTGCGTCTCATATATACAGAAAATATAGAAAGTTTGATTCAAATCTGAATGAGCTTTTCACTGGAATGGACATTCCAATGGTAACTTAAAATATAGATAGTGCATGTCTCCACCGTTGACACATAGTTTCATATTAGCACACAAAAACCCCATAAAATACTGACATGAAATATTTTAATTAAATGTTTAGTTCAGTACCTGACACACATGTGACACCCATTTTAATTTTTTGGGAAAGCTATCGTTTTGTTTTCAATCTTTTAAAGGATAACAATTCAATTTGCATCGATTGAAAATGTGTAGCGATTCGGTAATAAATGTCTCAAAAACACCAGATAAATACACAGACACTTAGTTCATCACCGATAGGTTGTTTATTGTGTAGTGTCCCCTCCGTATCACATACAAGATGCTACCCACAATTCTACATTATACCTACTATACTGAATGTCCAGTCTATATATCAGGATCTGTTCGGTAAAAGACCGAGGCACTGTTTCGCTAACTATTTGCAGATCAAAGACAAGTTGGGTTAGTAACAAAAACCTTTTTTTTACATTTAAAATAAAATCAATATATCAATTATACGATATCAAAAATATCTACACACGTTGAATATACTCATACGTTTATACATTGTATATATAATACATTTGGCATGGGATTGGCACTATCTATTTAGGGACGTATAGTGTGTAGCGTCCTCCATCTAATTTATAATATAATATTGTCAGTAACTCCCACTACGTGCTGACAGCCTGTTCACAAAGTGCTTAAAGGGGAATCACTCGTACAAATTTTGATAGATAAAAACAACGATGAGAAATCACTTATTTTGAAAAAGTCTAAAGTTTAAACAGAGATTAAATAACATTTAAAACAGTTGTCACGACTTCAGAAACCAATTTTAACTTCTCTATAACAATAAATTTGTGTGACTTCGTGTAGTGATCAACACCGTTTCACAAACGACCAGCAGGCTTCCTAAAAATAGCCATAGAAACGACATGATTATACGACTTTAATCAACGACAGGGGGGTTATTAAATCGCTATGATACAATGGAACCTCATAATCATTGAACGTTCGTAATCTCTCGGACACTTGATTAGCGACCCGACAGCGTTCTGCCAATGTTTTACATCCAAGCAACAATGCATTATTCGGATTTTAAAAAACAAATATTGGAATGGAAAATAGAAGTTGGTCCTCCACGTTTTTGTTTTACTGGCTGTTCTTGATTAGGACAAATCCATTTAAGTTAGACATCTTGGTATTTATATTATACAAATTAAATTGATAAACTGAAACCTTTTTTACGATGTACAGAGTATCGCATAAAAAAAATTTCAGATTTCACGTCACGTAGTTGCTCGTTAGGAAGGTGACCTGTTTAATGTCAACCAGGGACGTACACAACAGGTTATTGTTGTACGTCCCTGATGTCAACTTGTGACGTATTCAGTTGTTAAAAATACTCAAATACATACGTTATCGTGTGGTTTATGTCGAGATCACTTCATATGGACAGAGAATTTTGTCTCGAATGTGTTCACGTCGGTGTAATTCACTTTCAGACGTGTCAGTTTTGGAAAACACATGAATGTAAGTGTAACAAGTGGAATCCTCCCGGTCATGGTACCGGTGTCACGTGACCTCGAAACGCATCGAAATTATGACCCAGTAACCATGGCTGCTTTTATTTTGAAGGCTCGAAACTAAGAGACAGATTATACCGGACACCGCAAGTACCCGCTGTGCTTTATAAACCGCTCCATGAAACGTTTGATTTGCGTTTAGAAAAAAATCAAAACCGTTTCCTATGTCCTTAATCGTCTTCTCAACAGCCAGGGTCACGTGAGGAGAGATGGTAGGCATGTACATATTACTAAAGACTACTGATTTACAAACAAGGAATAGAAATTTGTAGTAATCACAGTTTTTGGTCAAGATTTAAGCACTAAGAGAGTTTTACAGCGGAAGGAACCCGGTGACCCCATATTAGGGTCAACAATAACCAGCAGTAAGCCCCACCGACCAATGATACATCACAACGAGGCAAATCCTTCCCGGGGTTGTTTTAGTTTACTCTCTCTCTCCCTCTCTCTTTCTCTATACATATATATATATATTTTTTTTAGTTAGCTCTCTCTCTTTCTCCATTTTAGTTAGCTCTCTCTCTATTTTACTTCGCTCTCTCTCCCTCTCTATACTTTAAATATTTATCTTTATTTTTTAAAATAAGTTTACTGCATAGAAATAGAGCCTAATGACATCTACATTAACATGTACATAACTATTAAAGAAAGCACCATATTTCCACCATCTCATAGAGTATCATCTACACTCATCAAACAAGAGACCAAAGGGTCTTACTTTAAGATCACCTAAGTTTTATAAAAACTTTTGTTGATGTAACATATGTCAAGGAAATTCTCTTGTTAATAAAGTAAGATAAAATATATTGTACATGTAATACAATGTAAAATGTGCATAACATTAAACTGCCATCCTGTGTTAACAATTGTTACCAAGATTAAATCTCTTCCATAGGAAATTAAATTAGGTAAAAACTGTAAAGAAATTCACAATTTTAGTTAAGCAGCTTCAGACCCTTTCATCCATGCATATTATTTAATTCTAAAATATCTTGGTCTAGAGACATTTTTTTTTTTTAAGTGAGTCAATATGACCCTTTGTGGCCCTCCCATAAGTCACTGGGGGTCAGCCACGGTCAATATAAGCTTACCATCAAAATGTCCTCCTGTACTAAATCTTCTCACTAGGTCTGAATTACGTCCTATCAAAATGGAAGACATTTTCCTCAATTTCCAATGTAAATTTTACCTACACTCCAGAGACTGTAGAGTCCTTAAATTTAATATTTTGATAAAGCACCTCAAGAAACTTCTATCATATCCACATCCTTCAAAGTTTTTAGTCAATTTGACTCCGTTTGGCCATTTCCATCAGTTCAACAGATATCTTGAACACATGCTTGTACAGATGGACACACACTTAGATGGATACACACCAAGTGATAACCTTTCAACCTTTAACTACATGGGGAGTTTAATAATCAGTAACAAAAGATCCCAGATGGATGTTTGCGTCCACTGTTAGTTGTGATATAATGATTGATATTAAGGTAAAAACTGCTATAAAGGCACTTTTGTACAAATTCACACAAGCCATATATTCTATGTTTTTCATTAACATGAGATCCTAGAGGGACCTTGCTGCCCATCATTGTTGGATCTCTTCCTTTGTGTTCTCTTTCCTTCTCTTCTTTTGCTCTTATTGATAAGAAATTTGAACATATCTTTACAGAAATAGGACATTAATCTTTAAACTATTATCTATTAACAGCCAAATCAAAAATGGTAGCCTGGCAACCATTGAAATATATATACTTAAAGTGCAGTGAAATGTACCAGGAGGAATAACTGGATGAAGTATAAAAATGGACCTCAGAGCAGAATCAGTCCCAGGGGAGATAACTGGGAGTTAACTATCACAGGGGAGAATTAGGTGATCAAGACTTGGAAGTTGGAGGGGAGCCTATGAAGATCAGTATGTAGAGGGGATAATTCAGAACATTTATGAAGAGAACCAGTCACTCCACTCCCATTCCTCTGCACAGTAAAGACGCCACATGTAAAACACGTTCACCACCAGAATTTGGAGCACACGACCCAAAACAATGTCACTTGGGTAGAAGTTCTCCAGGAACTCGAGGGGATAGAACCTGGCAAAGGAAATTCCTCGACTAGCATAGAACAGGTTTGTAGTCATCTGTGTGAACATAAAAATCACAGCAAGCTTCATGGTAATGGGGGATCGCCACGGAGACAGACGCTCTTCTTGATCAAAGTAGTCTTCCATGGAATCGTCCTGTGACAGAAAATATACAAACATTTTACAGGTATACTAGTAATGTCTTGGTCAGGTTCTCTGCAGCTAAGGGACAGAGTGGTAAATACATCTCTTATTACTTATCCCTCAATAAGTATTCAACATTCATCAAAAATACAATCACTGTTCATCACAAATACCTTAACAAGTGCACCAGTAGCAGTGGACACATCCAATCAATTTGAACCAACTTCCACAACAAACTTAGAACTCTCAGCTCTGAACAGTGACAGTTATGACCTGGATTAAAGGTAAATGTCATTTCTTTTCTTTTTTCTCAAAATTAGCTTCATGTCATGCTTCTGAGCCATTTGGTTTGCCAGGTCTAAATATACAGTTTACAAGATAATAAAACACTTGTATAACATCCTACCAGTTTTGCCTACGGCTTCATAAAGCATCTTCCTTCGTGTTTTTGTAGCAGGTAAATCCATTGTAGAAGTGTGAGAATGGTATTGACAATAAATTATAAAAATTATATAAAAAGGCACTATAATTATAACGGGTGAATATTGAGACAAAGACGCTGTAGCAATAGTATTGTAATATGTGTTATTCATTTTAAACCTACACATACTATTCTGTGATATCTTTGATGAAATACACAACTGGACTCGAGACGAGACTGTACTGTAGTGAACAATATCATTTCTATTATCATTACAAGTCTTAATCTAATTAAATATTTAGTATCAATTTCCTCTTCACTGGAAACTTTTTCATGTTTTAAAAGGTGAATAATTAATCTAACAATGATAAAATTATTTGGTGTGACAGTAATTTTGACACAATCCATACATTGTGGGCCTAATAAAGATAGGATAACCTAGCTGTATACCAAATGAAAATTTTCAAAAATGGGAGTTTTCCTTGTGATAAGTTTTTAGATACTTTGCCATTAATTTTTACAAGCAAAATGCTGCCATATTGCAGCTTTTACATTTTACTGGGAACAACTTTTAAAATATCACTTCCTTCCACCATGTTGTTAATTAAATTGGGTCATTTCAAGGATGTGTGTAAAACACTGACCTGGACTCACCACCTCCTTTTAAAATATACTTTGTGAATTTAAGTACATATAGATTATATTTGAAACAATATGGATTTACCACTTTCCTGTATTTAGTGCTATCCCTGATCAAGGTCTCAAAGACCCTTTCATAAATAAGAAAACACTATGAAAAACTTTGGCAAGAACTTGGTGAAAAATATTGCGTTCAAGAAGCATTTTTGTTAAACATAAAAAATATTGCTTTCAAGAAGCATTTTTGTTAAATATAAAAAAATATTGCTTTCAAGAAGCATTTTTGTTAAATATAAAAAAAAAATCTTTAAAAAATCAATAGTAGAACAAATCACCATGATATTTATCAACATGAAAATACACTATCAATCTATTGCCTTCCAGGTCACAGCTATTGAATACCTTGATAAGTAGACCTATCATTCCACAACTAATAATTACACAGTTACCATCTTCTTACCTTGTCAAAGAAGTTCTTGGTGACTTTTTCTGTAATGTACAGAATACAGTAAAGCCGAATACCCAAGGTGACCAGAAAGAAAGGTCGCAAAAACTTCATCAAGAACTCAAGAGCAAGACCAGCATTATCTATGTAACAAAAATAGTAAAAAATCTTTAACATCCATAATTTTTCACATACATTATCAATATTGAAATCATCTGGTTTCTGTAGAAACAATTTCATTCAAATGCAGACCTGTAGGCCTTGACATTCATCTCACTTTTATAAAACTGTCTTTTATTTTTGCTTGCAAATCATGTGGAAATATCTGAGTATGAAGGTTGCTGCAAGCCATTGCCTTCAAAAGTTTACTAGGGTTTGTCAAGGTTTGATTTTCTATACTGCCTAATAGCCATCTTTTTTAAAGTAATCATTCAAACAACACTTTTCCAATGGTTAGAACTGAAATTTCACATCGAGACACATAAGATGAAATATATAATGCTATAGAGAGTCCTGACAGTCTATTGTAGTCACACTCACCACATCTAGATCATTTGTGTATTAACATGAAAAGTTGTTACATCAACCTTTTAGACTGCAGATTAAAAATAAAACAAGCAATATGTCTTTAAAATCAGGAAATGTTCACCTGACATCATCAGGACAACATGATACTGGCCATATTATGACCTGCTTAAATTGTGAAAAATTTCCAGAATCACCCAATATTCTTTTACGTCTGATCAGTAGTCAAAAGTTTCCTATTTGTTTTCTACATCTATATAGTCAAAATAATCTTTGAGAAAAACATGCAACATGATTTCAATGTGAACAGCTGTAATAACTATACAACAGAATTGATTGTAAGGACTTTTTACCTATAAAACACCCTGTACTCCTTGACTTTGAAGGCCACGACTAGATATTATTTGATAAGAGGCTGGCAACACTGCAGATTTGTGCTCAAAATTAAGACACACTGTTATCCAAAACTGTTTTCTTATACTAACCATGAAAGTCATCAGCAATGTTTTCTTCCATTTATCCAACATAAACATCAGAGAACACATTACAAACTGATCTTTAACATTGATACGTACACTTTCAGCTTGTATTCAGTCTTGGAGGTTCTATTGAAAGTGTTTTTTAATGTCAATTATAATAGTAAAAGTTGAAAAATGGCAAAGTTAAAGGAGAGACAATCATGGACACAAATTTTATTTGACAAATAAATCTGAATTTTTTACATTTTCTAAAATGTCTAAAATCCATTGATTTCTTACCTATTGAGCTGCCAATGATATACCTCCCAATGCTGATGAGGGACTGTTTCTTGTCATATCTGTGAAACACATCAACATATATTATCCCACAAATATCTTACAAGACGATACTGGCATCAATATTCCCTACTCAGTAAATTATTTTCTGACACACTTTAAGTAGTGATTCATGACTCTACCTGATTTTATTATACATGTATTATCCATGCAACACAAATTGTCTCTCTAAGATACAGACTGTATAATTCTCTTTCACAAGATACATGTATTTATAGTTACCAAACTGGTAAGTGAGAAATGACAAATCAAGTCATTAGATGTATAAACCTATTTATCAAACATTATTTACAATTTTATTCTTCACTTTATCATTAATGCTCTCTATCATTGTACACTGGGTAATTAAAGGGTTCATTCAACGGTAAACTAAGATACATATAACAAGAGGCCCATAGGGCCTGTATCACCCAGCATGTTTAGTTCTCTGAAATTGGTTCATCTAAACTAAATGAAAATTATTTAAATGATTTAAATCTATTTCCCCTATCACACCCCACCCCTCTGCTCCAAGGCAATCAGATGAACCGTTTACACAAATTTAGCTTCATCCTAGGATGCTTTAGACCCAATTTAGGCAAACTTCAATAATTCCTACTGAATAAGAAGAATTCTAAAGAACTTTCGTATTTGCCCTATTGTGACCCATCCCTTCTACCCAGTAGTTCCAGACCAACCATTTATACAATATAAATTCCTCTTCACCCAATAATCTTTCGGATCAAATTTGGACATGATACTGACATCCCTTCAGAAGAAGGATTTTTTAAAATTTTGCTCATTTCCCTTATTCAACTCGGCCCCTCCCTCACAAATGGACCGAGACCCATCATTTACACAAAATTTATTCCCCTGGCTTTCAACCAAATTTTGTCAAAATCAAGTCCTCTAGGAGAAGTAACATCTTAAGAATTTGTTTTATTTCTACTATTGGGTCAGCCCTTCCTATTATTTCTACAGGAGGATTTTGCATAATTTGCAAAATTATCCCCTTTTACCCGACCCTCCAGTCTAAGGGGTTGAGACCAACCATTAGTATTAAATTTGTTTCCCTTCCTCAAAGGATGCTTCAGACCAAATTTGGGTAAAATCCATTCAACTTATCATGACTAACAGCAATTTGGGAAAAAAAGTTAATAGATGCAGAGGTACAGCAGGATCAAATGAGCTACAAATTATTCTCATATTCATATATCTGTACCACTTGAGAACCATGTACGAAATTGAAAATATTTACATCTGGATGGCAATGTACCTGTACCAGAAGAGATAAATATCATAATGATACCTGTAACTTACCTATACCAGGTTTCAGGTGTATTAAGTGGGTGCTTGATAAGTTGAGTTTCATCTTTCATGGCATACAGCACTGCCACACAGCACAGACAGGAAAAAGCCGCATCACACAGGATACCTAAGATTAATCAGTAAATTAGACCACAACCAATTCAGAGCAGAGAAAAGAGAAATAAATGTGACGTGAGAAATGACAGAAATGAACACCAATCTCTATGTTGCTTTTGAATGGTAGATAGTTAAAAAGACAAACAAGTAAACAGAATCTTTTAATATCAAATTAGAATAAGATACTGTAACTTACAGTTTGTTGGTCCTAGGATTTGTCAGTGATGCTAAGGACCTAAATTGTTGATACTTAGAAGGTGACTGTCTCATTATTATATTGTAACATTGGGAAAGAGATGGTCATTATTACAGGAGGGAGAGATATTGTCATTATCACAGGAGGGAGAGGGATTGTCATTATCACAGGAGGGAGAGAGATTGTCATTATCACAGGAGGGAGAGGGATTGTCATTACCACAGGAGGGAGAGGTATTGTCATTATCACAGGAGGGAGAGGTATTGTCATTATCACAGGAGGGAGAGGGATTGTCATTATCACAGGAGGAGATTGTCATTATCAGAGGAGAGAGATATCACAGTATCACAGGAGGGAGAGAGATTGTCATTATCACAGGAGGGAGAGGTATTGTCATTATCACAGGAGGGAGAGAGATTGTCATTATCACAGGAGGGAGAAGTATTGTCATTATTACAGAAGGGAGAGGATTTGACAGTATCACAGGAGGGAGGGAGATTGTCATTATCACAGGAGGGAGAGGTATTGTCATTATCACAGGAGGGAGAGGTATTGTCATTATCACAGGAGGGAGAGAGATTGTCATTATCACAGGAGGGAGAGAGATTATCACAGTCATTATCACAGGAGGGAGAGAGATCATTATCACAGGAGGGAGATTAGTATTGTCATTATCACAGGAGGGAGAGGTATTGTCATTATCACAGGAGGGAGAGGTATTGTCATTATCACAGGAGGGAGAGAGATTGTCATTATCACAGGAGGGAGAGAGATTGTCATTATCACAGGAGGGAGAGGGATTGTCATTATCACAGGAGGGAGAGAGATTGTCATTATCACAGGAGGGAGAGGTATTGTCATTATCACAGGAGGGAGAGAGATTGTCATTATCACAGGAGGGAGAGGTATTGTCATTATCACAGGAGGGAGAGGTATTGTCATTATCACAGGAGGGAGAGGGATTGTCATTATCACAGGAGGGAGAGGGATTGTCATTATCACAGGAGGGAGAGAGATTGTCATTATCACAGGAGGGAGAGAGATTGTCATTATCACAGGAGGGAGAGAGATTGTCATTATCACAGGAGGGAGAGAGATTGTCATTATCACAGGAGGGAGAGGGATTGTCATTATCACAGGAGGGAGAGAGATTGTCATTATCACAGGAGGGAGAGAGATTGTCATTATCACAGGAGGGAGAGGTATTGTCATTATCACAGGAGGGAGAGAGATTGTCATTATCACAGGAGGGAGAGAGATTGTCATTATCACAGGAGGGAGAAGTATTGTCATTATTACAGAAGGGAGAGGATTTGACAGTATCACAGGAGGGAGGGAGATTGTCATTATCACAGGAGGGAGAGGTATTGTCATTATCACAGGAGGGAGAGAGATTGTCATTATCACAGGAGGGAGAGAGATTGTCATTATCACAGGAGGGAGAGAGATTGTCATTATCACAGGAGGGAGAGAGATTGTCATTATCACAGGAGGGAGAGAGATCGTCATTATCACAGGAGGGAGAGGTATTGTCATTATCACAGGAGGGAGAGAGATTGTCATTATCACAGGAGGGAGAGGATTTGAAAGTATCACAGGAGGGAGAGAGATTGTCATTATCACAGGAGGGAGAAGTATTGTCATTATAACAGATTTGTCATTATCACAGGAGGGAGAGAGATTGTCATTATCACAGTGTCATTATCACAGGAGGGAGAGAGATTGTCATTATCACAGGAGGGAGAGAGATTGTCATTATCACAGGAGGGAGAGAGATTGTCATTATCACAGGAGGGAGAGGGATTGTCATTATCACAGGAGGGAGAGAGATTGTCATTATCACAGGAGGGAGAGGGATTGTCATTATCACAGGAGGGAGAGGTATTGTCATTATCACAGGAGGAGAGGGATTGTCATTATCACAGGAGGGAGAGGGACTGTCATTATCACAGGAGTGAGCGAGAAAAGAGACTTACCTTCCTGTGACATCCACATCATGTTGTGAACGGCCAGACACAACACCATTACTAGGAACAGCAGCCTGTGAGGAATAATTTACAACTATTTACACTCAATGTACATCTTGACTAACAGAAGATATAACTTCAAATGTACTTCAACATTACATTGACGAAAGATACAACTTCAAATGTACTTCAACACAGACGAAAGATACAACTTCATCTGTACTTCAAGATACATATTTATCATTGACAAAAGAAACAACTTTAACACTGGCAAAAGACAACTTCAACATTAACAAATGACAACACATTTCCACGTGAAAATTTTTGTACACTTTTCACTGATAAAGTCAGATAAGTGGATCAGTACCTACACTTGAATCTTCTCATGAATCAGATAAAGAATAAATAAAAAAAAAGTAATGCTATACATCAATGTTCAACTCACCATAGCTGGACCATAGAGCCCTCCTTGTAAATGGCCAGACCAAATGATGCCATCATGGCATAGCACAGGGATGTGAAGCAGATAACCACAAACTGAAACAAAGTCATTTTCTTTTGTCAAACTCAGCATCATTAATATGACTCAAATTAATAAATCCGCTGTTTGCATGAAACTGTTAGACATTTGCCTATGAAAATAAACTCAATATATTCCCAGTTTGTTAAAACTTAATTCTGTTCTTTTGGATATCTGGTACTGTATGTACACGATACTACATACCATGGTTAGTAACTAGATATAAATAATATCATAGCTCGCTCTCTTTCTTTTTTATACATACAGGATGAAACTACAGGTATTGAACATTACAATCATTATTTGATAACTTCATTATGTATATTGATACCTTTAAAACTGGCGACTGTTCCTCTTCAATTTTTTCCATCACTCTTTGACTGACATGCATGACAAAATTGAGTGCCAGCACAATCTCCGCTACCTGTAGCCCAAACTCGGACATCCACAGGACCTTGTCGTATATCCATACCAATGGGTAAGGAACGAGGTTAACAGGCAGGTAAAAACAGATCAGGCACAGGATCCCAATGTTCAGGTATGGCAATACCTGGTACTGAATAGAAATTATCATAATGGTATCAAGTATTGCTGTTTAGATATAAGGAATGTCATTATATTTTCTTTAGAAGATGCTCTTCAAAGTTATGTTTTTAACCATTAGCATAGGACAAATGTTGAAAGGCTGAAAAAGTTTGAAGATCCCATCTCCTGCATTTGATGCCAGCCAATCTTGTGTAACAGGAGATGACAAAAAACCCTGCTTCTCCGATAAAATCAAAACCTCGTCCCAGTTATTCAAAGCTATGATAAAATTAACCAGTGTTTGGTGCAAAATTTATATTGTTGCTACTGACAAGGACTTTCAAAGGAAATTGAGGCATGCTAAATATCAATCTGACACCATTCCTTTTAATCTTTAATTCAAGTGTCACAGTTTTACTAACCATTGGTCAACTCTTTACTAACAAGTTTTGAGTAATTAGTACTGGGCCCAGAGCTCTACAAAGATGCTTTAGCCAATTATGTTGCCAATGTGCCAATATTACCAAGCCAAGAGTGATTGACCCCTGACTGGTTCTTTTATATCTTTCACTTCTTCAACCCTCAAAAATGGACATACAGAAATCTAAATATCACTTCCTGTTAATATACTTTGTTTGTAACTGAATGTAAGAGGAGATACAATAGAAAATACCAGATTAGAAACAGATAATGATAAATGTCAGTCAAGGAGTAGTAAAGTATTATTTAAAGGGTCAAATTTCAATTACTGTTCTTATTTTTTCCTGTTTTTTTTTTATATATATATATATATAAGTGACAGCAGTGGACTGATTTTATTTAATTTGTTGTAGTGTCTATGACAATATCTGGAAAGCTCTTCCACTTGAGTATAGTTTGAGAGGAGAATGTTAACTTTCTGATTTAGGTTTCGGAATGAGGAATCTGGAAATTTAAAGAAAGCCTGGATTATTTGATTTTCTCCAAGAAAAGGATTCTAACTTCACTAGTGAGAAAAACTTGATGGAGTCAATTAGAATTTCTGAGACATTTCTTGTAAAAAGAAAATTTCAATTTTTCAGTGAAGTGTTTGATACACAATGCACATACAGGTAGGAGGTAAGTCAAACTTGTTCTGAAATCGACCGTGACACAGACAAAAGTTAAATCGTGGATAGATAATAAAAAGCCGTTCAAACTATGCAGGGGGATGAGAGAGACATGACTCTACAGTCACTACAGTCAGGGACGTAGTTATCTACGTCCCTGCTACAGTACAATGTGTAGATGTATTTTGGACCAGGTGTGCTATAGTGAGAAAAGGAGAACTTGGAACAGATGTCGTCTGCTAAAAACAGAAATAGATACTCCTGCAAAAGTTTTCTCGTTGTGAATTTTTGAGGCATCTGAGAAAACGTCTTCGTGTTTTTTTCATTGCATACTGTACATTACGGATGAGGAGCGATCTTTGTAATTCTTCCGGATAAGGATGATATAATTTTCTCTTTCTTACCAAAACACCAGGCACGAATTCGCTACATATGACATATGCATATAGAAGGAAAGACACTCGTAAAATAAGATCAACACCGCAAAAGGAGCCGTAGATAGGCACAGTCACCACACATAGATAGGGCAAAAATTCCACAAACAGTGCCACTAATGAAATACACATCGTTCCTCATACTGCAAGTCAAACTAAGCGGCAGTGTTTTCTATCGCACTTCCGGTAATAGGTTAACACTACATTTAGAAGCCATAGACGGATGCTTAAATCCGGATAATAAGAAGTTGAACTTGATCACATTGTATATTCCACATCAGAATTAAGTACACACATGTCTATTTATGTTCGCAATATTTTAATATATGCCATATGTTTGACTTATTTATTTTATCTAAGTAACTCCCGTGCTTTTTTGCCGGATCTATTTGCCTTTTTTCTTTCAGTAAGTTCACTTAGATGCTTTGTTAAAGGTTGTGCGCCATCCCTTGTGGATGGTGTACTTTCACAATCAACTCTCATTGTGTCATAATGCCATGCATTTTAGCTGCGGATTTAGTGATAGCATAATCTTAATGGTATAGGTATATAGGAACAACTCCTAAACTACCCGGGCGTAAAGTTCACATAATTTAGACATTTTAATATAGAGCAGTATAAGAACAACCATCATCTGTGCCCTTTCATGCTATTTATATTTTTGACAACACAGATGATATTTCTATGGGACATGAAACTCTGCTTAACAATGTTATTGACGAACACCTCCCAATTAATGAAAAGATTCCTAGAGCCAATAAACCGCCATTTTTGATAGTAGATTGAGTAAGGTAATTTTTTAAAAACATGTGGCTTTCAACAGATGCAAGAGATTTCCAATTCGTGGTGATATATATAGGGGGCATCGAAATCTAGTCTATAGGACTATACGCCAGTCCATTCATACATAATTTTTCGAAGAGAGAAAACTTTTGGCGTTTCTTCTATTGACTTATCAGTTCTGTCAAAAGTCATTAACAAACTTCATACTAAAATTTTTGTTGATGGTATATCTGCCAAGATGAGTAAACTGGCTCTGACTCTCTAATTTCTGTATAGCAGAAAAATAATTTCCTGATAGGTTGAAATAGGCCCAGGTCACTCTTATTTGAAAAGGATCATATGAACAATGAAAATTATAGACCTGTAAGTGCCTTATCAACTTCGAAAGGATCCTTTATGACCAACTTCATACTCGATTCGATGATGTGTTTAACCCTTTCCTTGCAGCTTTCAGGAATGGCTTTGGGCCAGACCACTCTTCTGCGTTTTCTGGAGGACTGGCGCCAGGCCTTAGACAGCAATATATATGTTGGAGCCATCCTGATGGATCTGTCCAAGGCCTTCGACTGCCTTTCTCATGGACTGCTGGTGGAACAGCTGAGGACATATAGACTCGACTGCTCATCGGTTGATCTGTTCTGCAGCTATTTCAGCAACAGACGCCAGAGGACTGGTCTGGATCCCAGTGCCAGTGACTGGGGGTTGATTATTAATGGAGTTCTCCAGACCCTCTGTTTTTAAATAATTTTTATAAATAACATTTTTTATCATATTGACAATAGTATTTTATACAACTATGCCGATGACAACACTCTCCTTCTCTAATCATAACCAAAAACACCTCTCTGATGTACTAGAGAAAGTCAAAATTTGATAAACTGGTTTAGTAAAACTGGCATGCAAAAATTTCTGGCCATTTGCTTGTGAATAACATCAAAGGAGATTCAGTTTTTTAATATTGGCAATCATACAATTGAATGTGAAAGTTCTGTTAAATTGTTGGGTGTTGACATCGACAGCGATTTGAATTTTGATCAACAAATCTTTAACATTTGTAGAAAAGCTTCTAAGTAGCCGTGATATTTATTGTTTTATATAAAAATTGGATGTAATCTTTCAAGGAAATGCAAAATTACTATTTTGAAATCTTTCATTTTTTTCAAATTTTAGCTGCTGTCCTTTAGCATAGCATTTTTGTGGCATAAAACACCAGGAAACTAGAAAAAAATACAAGAAAGAGCAGCTAGGTTTATAGAAAATGATTTTCTGCAGGGTGTTACACGCTTTCGACGGCCCAATATGTAGCTACAGCTTATTGATGCTTTTGTGCAGTATCATGCCACTGTTTGTCCGTTTTACCCCTTTGTTTGTTTGTTTTTCATTTTATTTCCATGTGCTTTATGTCACTTAAAATGAATGTTGTATTTATTTATCTATTTTTAGTGCTATGTGTTTCAAAACACAATCAGCCAGTTTCTAACTTATCTCCCAGTTGTTACGCGCTGTTTTAGATTATGCTATATTAGTATGTATTCGGTCAAATTTTACTCATTTCCATATTGGCCGATATGTATATCGGACCTTCCGGTCCTTTAATTATCATTTATATATGCTGCATGAGTTTTATTAGCTAGAAGTGTTTGTAAAGTTATCTGTGATGTATGTTTTAATTTCTTAATGTGCTAATTTGTTTTGTGTATATGCAATTGTTTTGATACTTGTAGTCGCAATAATAGCTCTATAGAGTTAATGCTTTGTTCAAGAACACGACTCTAGATAAAAATTCTTGTATAATTAATTGTTATAGTTAAGAAATATGTATGACAATAAGAAAACTCCGTATCGTATGATTCTGTGAGGGCTGACAAGAAAACTGAGTATATAGTATGATTCTGTGAGGGCTGACAAGAAAACTGAGTATATCGTAAAATTCTGTGAGAGCTGACAAGAAAACTGAGTATATAGTATGATTCTGTGAGGGCTGACAAGAAAAATGAGTATTTAGTATGATTCTGTGAGGGCTGACAAGAAAACTGAGTATATCGTAAAATTCTGTGAGGGCTGACAAGAAAAATGAGTATATAGTATGTTTCTGTGAGGGCTGACAAGAAAACTGAGTATATAGTATGATTCAAAATCATGACATAAATAGACTTCAGAAATATTTACAGACTCCTGAAAAAGTACAAGGTAAATAAGACAAGATGTTCCGGAAGGGTATTATCGACGACACCCGCATAACACAATATGTGTTTTACATTTTGTATTTGTCTCTGCCACGATATGTAAATTCGATTCAAGGAATTAATGTCACGTTAAACTTCCCTATTATTTTCATCATTCTATTCTCTCGAAACTCTGAGTTGTGAGTTTGTCTGTCTGTTGCCGACATTTTCGGCGCAAACACCGTGATACTGAGACAGGCCCTTGAATGTGGCATCAGACGGTGCCAGCAGGTAAACACCATAGATTGGGAATATGTATCATTCTTAGGATCAAAATAGCCATTTACTTCTTTATTTCAGTTGCAAAAATCAAATTTAATTAGGTACAAAAAGAAAAAACGAAAAAGAATCACAGATGGGTGTTTTCATTGCATAAAAATCATGATACCAAAGATTAAAAAATAGGAAAGAGATTTGTTTACATTAGAAACCAAAGTTGTGTCTCTGGTACTTAGTACCGTAAACAGCATGCCCAGCCTGACCAATATTTAAATATAACGATGTTTATTTCACAAACAATATCTCGAAAATAATCTTTCACAGATGTTCAGGTTTGTTGTACTCTTTCTTGATGAGAGAGTTTTCAGGTAGTGTGGTAAACATCCAGAGATTCACAAAAACAAACAGCTTCAGAAGTGATTTCATGACCTTGAAAATACGTAACAGTACATCTGATTCCATATGTCTCTTTGATAAACTATTACTAGAAACATTTAAAATGAATGAATTCGTTCATTATTTACACGTTAACGTTCAATATGGAGTGTTTAGAGATCGGGGGAGCTGGTGAGTCATGAGAGGTGAAAATCCGACTTTACGTTTATATACATGCTGAGTTGAAACGTCCCCAAGGCGTATATACATATACATTGAGGGCTGTGAATCTAGACACTCCACTGTCACCGATATGTGATCATCAAGACTACCACAACTGTTATCGTTAGCATTGTTGGTCGACAGAAAGTGAGAAATCACACACAAGACGCTAATTAGCACTGTTGTCCTAATTGCAGTCCCCGTTGGCGCCCCCTGCTAAGGCGATAGCTGCATTAGCTTGAGCGACACAACTGGCTGCGTACAGGTCTAAAATTAGCACGCTTCCGCCATTAGCAGACGATTCGTGTAGGACGAGCGAGCTTTGTGTAGCGAGCCTTCAAACGAACGTTTTTGTAGTGTAGGCCTAGTTATCGACCATACGAAAGTTTTACCTGGATTTAGCGTCAAAAACACAACAACAAAATATACCAGACTTCACATGTAGCTGTGGCTAGTATAAACATCATTCTGTGGATAAAATCTACATATTATTCTATCGATCGGTGGTGTGTAGCGCTATGCTTGTGTAGTGTATATAGCTGCTACAGGGAACAATGGCGGACGAGGATTTTTCTACTAAAACAAGCTATTTAGACCGTTTTAGAAGCGCACAACATATTCGAGTGAACTGGAATGGAATTTTGAGTACGGATGTGGACCGATTTGTGAGTGGACATGCCGCTATTTTGAGTTGTGCTAAGGAGTTATTGCTATGTCCACTATTGTCTGCGGTGGCTAGTTGTATGGGTCCCAACACTGTCATTGATGTCAATTCACACTGGCAGGAAATCCCTGTTCTATGGACAGTCGTGGCTGCAAGGCGTGGCGAGAGAAAAACGACGGTCTTCAGAAAAGTGAAAAACGAAAACTCAAAACTTGAACAAGAGATTGGGGCTTTGAACAGTGTTAATAGCGACCAATCTGTCCCTAGGCTGATTATTGATGAACAGAATATTAAAAGACTGCTTCAGTCAGATGAGGACATGTCGTCAGATCACCACAGTGCCATAAGTTCTGTTTATGTTATTTTAGACGATTTTGGATCTTGGTTTACACGCAAAGAATTTGAAGCAGAAATTAAGCCCGTCGTTTTAAGACGATTGTATGATGGGCCTGATCTCCCAGCGACGAACCAAAGTTATCAAAAGCACAATAACAAATATATAACTTTTTCTGCAAATGCTCAAGCCTTGGACCTTTCCGCTTTGTTTGATCGTGAAGATACAGAAGGACTTCTTGAGAGAACCCTGTTTTTATGCGCACCTGACTGGTATCCGTCCACTGAAAAGAGTGAAGAAGCGACACATAACTCACCGTCTATACAGTCTGTCCTATCGTCCGTCCGTAACCTTCACCAGGTTCAAAACATCACCTACACGTTCAGTCCAGACGGACAAACAGAATTACAGAAGTATGTATATATGATATATAATGTGTGTTGTATCTAGCCAGAACTTTAACACATTTGATGTGTATCTAACTTGTTCTGTTGATGTGTCCTCCAATGACGAACAGTTACAGAAATAGAGAGAAAAATATACTAACAATTTTAACAATACTGAAGGAAAGTAACTTAAGTATAGATATTCAAGGGTACTGGTGTTCTTTGTATTTAGTGTACTATATTAGACCCAGTGTACTTTACACTTTGTAGATAAGTACTGCGTGTTATAGCTAGTGTACTTGATAACACGCTGTAGAGTAATTTATGATGCATTGTGAATAGTGTACTTAATTATACACGGTATGTAGTGTAATTTATGATACAATCTATATAGCGAACTTTATCATACACTGTATATAAAATATTGCACTTAATGTTATACTGTATATTGTGTACTATATAATAAATAGTGTATTTAATGATACACTATATAGCGGACTTTGAGATACACTGTATATAGTATACTTAATGTTACATTGTATATTGTGTACTATATAATACATTGTATATAGTGTATTTAATGATACACTATATAGCGGACTTTGCGATACACTGTATATAGTATACTTAATGTTACATTGTATATTGTGTACTGTATAATATATTGTATATAGTGTATTTAATGATACACTATGTAGCGGACTTTGAGATACACTGTATATAGTATACTTAAAGTTACATTGTACGCTGATATACTCTTTATGTTTACTTTATGATGTATAGTGTACTTTTTGTGTAGTATCTACTCTACTTTATATAAGTGTATTTTGAATTCGGTCTTCATATCTTAAAGTCGTCATATCTATTGTACTTCAAAGTATCTTGTTTTATGAATTTCTAGATTCTATGTGTAGTACATGTTTCATCTCGTATTCTCTAAATCAGTTCCTCTTTATGTCCATGTTTAATGTTTAGTATAATAATACATTATATTATATTGTCTACTTCTTTCCCATCAATCTTGATCTTTATTATGACGAGTTCGTGTTATTAGATAGTGTGAGGATAAATATAATAATATTTGACCACATATTATGATAAAGTCGTCATGTATTTCGATAATGGAACTGATCACTCAAAATCCAATACAGATCTAGAATTTTCTGTCATTACAAAAAGGTTTGGATAAACTGGATTTATAGTAAATTATTTATAGATGTTTGTATAAACGTGCTGTTTTTGGGATCAAATTTTCTTGTTTCGATGGCGGCAATGGATTTTTGTTATGTTGTAATTTTTACAAAAGTATCATGTTTTGGCACGTGTTGATCGATTGAACCTATTCTGTTTTGTAAAAATACCTGATGTGATGACTCATCTTATCATTCAACCTGTATCAAATAATACTAATACTTATTTATATTTATTAATGACAAGTTGAGTTCTATATTTCACTCATGGTTGTGACGGCTTCCATTTCAGGTGTTTTGATGATCTTCACAACATTAAAGGCAGGTTTGCAGATCACGAAAAATGCCGAGGATCGGTTAACTTCGCTTCCGGTCACGTGGTTAGATTATGTGCCGTACTAACAGCACTGAAGAATGGCCTAGCAATGGTTAATCGCGGATCATTCCTACCTCCTAGGATAATTGACCAAGATACGGTTCGGAATGCCTACTCCCTTGTTCGTGTTATCATTCAACAAAAGATTGCGTTGCTACTCGGTCCGCCGAAAGAAGAGCATGATAGCAATAGATCGATTCATTCCCGTCAATCAGAGCTGACAGCTATGGCAGACGAAGAGTTTGAATCCACAGATTCCAAGAATTTCAAAGTGACAACATCATGTATAGAAAACGAGGGAATGGACACTAAAGATGTTATAGAAATAGAGGACAAGGAAGAGGACTACGACAACGACGATTATATTCCACGAACAGCAACTGTGAGCAAGATCGATCTGTCAAACGTGCCGTCCAGCTCATTAGACTTTCAGATCTCCGACATTAGGTCTGAACCTTACGTCCCATCAAGTAACGACATTATGATACTTCGTGACGGTTATACAACATCTTATGCAGCCCCGAGACCACACAACCTGACCACGCCCTCTGGCGGACCAGTGTTTCCCGATCAGCAAATGGACGTAGGACAAATAAGTAATTTGATTTCGGGGAACTCCTCACTTGCCACGGCCACTAGTGCATATTCTCAACAGAACTTCGATAATCAAACTCCTGTCCCAGTATCCATTCCGAATTTGAATCTTTTGGCACGTGACCAGAAACCATCAAATGTCGGAGCTTCAAGCTCAGGACAAAATCCTCAAACGAACTTTAGACCAATACCCAGACAGATATTCGCCAACAAAGCCAAACTGAACAACAAGTACTCCAGTAATCTTTACAAAATGCCAGATAGTGAATTCCTATTCAAATGTTGTCAAAAGATTCGGAAACTCATGACTTCGAAAGGACGAATTGTAACAGCGTCACACGCCTGCCAGTACCGCCTATTTCCACCCGTGCCACTGGAACAGCGCATGTCTTCACCAAGGACAACACATCCAGCCTGGGCAGCTACAAAGTTCTTTGAAAAACTCGAATCGTTAGGGCTTGGCTGTTTGTTGGTGTTTAGAGGACAGTCTATCAAATTTCAGAAGAACAAACTGGAAGATATGACAGACGAGGCCCGTCAAATTCTTGTCAAGATTCGACTCTCTGAACAAGATTATGTCGACTCATTCACGACCACGGGTCGGCAGCCTGCCTTTTCCTTTGATCCTCACATCCAAGGGGACCCTGCCAAAGATGTATAACTTCTGTTAAGTATTGCAGGTGGGAGGGGGCGGGCTCTTACTGGTCAGTGTTACTGTTACAAGTGACACCGTATCTCTGCTGACCAGCATTATTAAGGTTTCCTGGAAATAAATTGGCCATACTTTATATTGCAGTCATTTGTTGTCGATATGTTCGTCAGTAAGGTAAATCCAATTTACTTGCCCTGTAAAAGAAATTTAATTACACACGTGTACCTTTCTGGTCACCAGCAGTGGTCTATTACCGTGTACCTTTCTGGTCACCAGCAGTGGTCTATTACCGTGTACCTTTCTGGTCACCAGCAGTATCAGCATGATGAAAGGTATTTAGAATATTCTAGTGTTGGTAAATTTTTGAAATGAAGTGGTATATTGTACGCCATACTTCGAGTAAAAAATTGTTTTAAAAAGATTGTACGAAAGACACGCATGACGATAAAAACTATTTTACAAAAAAACCACGTATGATTTCTGTCAAACATGTCCAGTCTGACAACGAATAAAGAATGCTCGACATATTGTTTCAGAAACAAAGAGACAACACCATTTTGCATCATTAAACCCCTGCAATGGTATCTTTCAGTTGGAATTCAGAATATGACTCCTTAACTTTTTTAATCTCTGGAAACTTAGAATGTTTATCTCCATATCTCTCGGCCCTTGGAGTCTGGTCACTAACTCTGGGAAATCAGAATGGGTGACTGTACAAAAAAAACCCACAAAAGTGAATAGATCTTCAGTCTTAATTTTCTAAAATTGTTTAAAATGTCATTGACGTATGTTAATAGTTTAAAACTATCGCTATATCATATTGTTTCTAAAGACGGCACTCGAACCGACCCGGGAAATTAGTAAAGGGAAAAGATAAACCACAAAAGAAACGGAGATAAGAAGATCTTTTGTCGACGTCCTAATACTGTAGGTTACAAGACCCCTACACTAGCTAGTGCGAAAGTCAGCAGTAAAAAAATTCACAAATTATTCCAAATATACTCAACAAAAAGGAAACGCCACACAATTAAATTATGCAATCAAAAACCTATGATATTCTGAGATATTTGTACATAATTTTATATGAATGTGAAGGGACAAATCTACTCTTTACAATACTGTAGAAGAAAAGTTTGTGTGACGTTCCTCGTGTCGTCAGTAGTTCATCAAAGTGGGATACGCGTGGAAAATAAAATGACAATTCAGTACCTGGTGTGGGCACCTCTAGCACGAATCCAAATAGACCGCTCCTGGGACGATCGGAAACTGATCCAGTAGCATGGGAACGTGTAAAAAGACAGTTAATTGTACAAGAGGCGACAGCAGTTTGACTATGATCATCCATTAACATCGCAATTGCGAGACTTAAGAATCTCACAAAGTCAGACGATGACATTGTCATGCTTGGCTGATTTTAGGGTAGTTTGTCGAGAAGGGAGATCATGCTTGATGTAATACCTGACCAAATATTTCGTCATTTCTTTACAGCTAAGGTGTACTGCAGGGGAGAACTTTATGCTTTCATTTTTTGTGGAGTATACATTACCTGCTAGGGTGAAGAAATGAGCAAACTTTCAGCCTAAGACTGGATAATGGTTCATTAAGCTGGTTGTAGAAACGCCGAGGCTTTCAAGAGGATGCTGTTGCGGTATTCCGGTTACCCTGGGAGTATGTTTACAATGGCGCCGCTGAAACTATCAACTTTATATAGGTAGTAATATAGCCCTGAGTCTTTCATCAGTGATAAAGAGACCGATAAACTTCCAAGAATAATATGTTATAGAAAAAAAAACGAAAAAAATCTATATAACAGACTAAAGACTAGGCTCCGGGTTGTTCAATGGCTGATTAGGGGATAACCAGGCGTTCGGCTCTGGTTGTTCAATGGGTGGTTAGAGATAACCAGGCGTTCGGCTCCGGGTTGTTCAATGGCTGGTTAGAATTAACCAGGCGTTCAGCTCTGGCTTGTTCAATGGCTGGTTAGAATTAACCAGGCGTTCGGCTCTGGTTGTTCAATGGCTGGTTAGAATTAACCAGGCGTTCAGCTCTGGCTTGTTCAATGGCTGGTTAGAGATAACCAGGCGTTCGTCTCCGGGTTGTTCAATGGCTGATTAGAGATAACCAGGCGTTCGGCTCTGGTTGTTCAATGGCTGGTTAGAATTAACCAGGCGTTCAGCTCTGGCTTGTTCAATGGCTGGTTAGAGATAACCAGGCGTTCGGCTCCGAGTTGTTCAATGGCTGGTTAGAGATAATCAGGCGTTCGGCTCTGGTTGTTCAATGGCTGGTTAGAGATAATCACGCGTTCGGCTCCGGTTGTTCAATGGCTGGTTAGAGATAATCAGGCATTCGGCTCCGGTTGTTCAATGGCTGGTTAGACAAAACCAGGCGTTCGGCTCCGGTTGTTCAATGGCTGGTTAGAGATAATCAGGCATTCGGCTCCGGTTGTTCAATGGCTGGTTAGACAAAACCAGGCGTTCGGCTCCGGTTGTTCAATGGCTGGTTAGAGATAATCACGCGTTCGGCTCCGGTTGTTCAATGGCTGGTTAGAGATAATCAGGCGTTCGGCCCCGGTTGCTCAATGGCTGGTTATACATAACCAGGCGTTCGGCTCCGGTTGTTCAATGGCTGGTTAGAGATAATCACGCGTTCGGCTCCGGTTGCTCAATGGCTGGTTAGAGATAATCACGCGTTCGGCTCCGGTTGCTCAATGACTGGTTAGAGATAATCACGCGTTCGGCTCCGGTTGCTCAATGGCTGGTTAGAGATAATCAGGCGTTCGGCTCTGGTTGTTCAATGGCTGGTTAGAGATAATCAGGCGTTCGGCTCCGGGTTGTTCAATGGCTGGTTAGACATAACCAGGCGTTCGGCTCCGGTTGTTCAATGGCTGGTTAGAGATAATCACGCGTTCGGCTCCGGTTGCTCAATGGCTGGTTAGAGATAATCAGGCGTTCGGCTCCGGGTTGTTCAATGGCTGGTTAGACATAACCAGGCGTTCGGCTCCGGTTGTTCAATGGCTGGTTAGAGATAATCACGCGTTCGGCTCCGGTTGCTCAGTGGCTGGTTAGAGATAATCAGGCGTTCGGCTCCGGTTGCTCAATGGCTGGTTAGAGATAACCAGAAGAAGTTCTTGAACATTTTCGAATATGAATCAAACAGAATTGTAAACAATTTTATGGTGAATGACCAGATTGATCTGTTTAGTATGTTAATTTTACTCTTGCTTTGTTCACTGGCCACTGGTCTAACTAATCTTTGAGCAACTGGGACAAGTGGGAGTATTACGAGAACAAGAATTACATGCTTTGCATGTATTGAAACTATATATGCCCTAACAAGGCAAAATAACCTTACCGCCATAATACACCATTCATATAACTGGTGAGACAGGTATGAAAGCGAGTGTGAAACATGTGTAAAACATTTGTGAAAGGTTGTGAGACTGCGAGGGAAAAGGTCTTTAACGTCTCGCTAGTTATTGGTGGAATGCCGTACATTGTACTTCATGGTTCATTTTTGTTTTTCAATGATAACATTTAAATTCAATTTTGCAGTACAATTTTTGCAGACAAACTAGCATTGAAGATCGCTGAGTGTCAACAACCAACCTACTTTAAAATTTATGATCTCGCCCTCCGTGTCATTTAAAGATAATCAATAAAAACAAACAATCGGCGATAGCGATTCCGATAAGTATATCGAACACTGCGGATAATTTATACACGATCGTACGCTATGATAAATAGATATGATTATATTTAGCAAGTCTACCCTAACAACGCTCTTCCAAAGTTTGTACCGCTTAAATTCTAATGACTTTTACTGTCAAAAGCTTTACTATAACATACAAATACACATTATGTATTGTTTTGTTTTGTCCTGATTTAAATCCGAACTGAGTATCTGTAACAATATTGGATCTTAAACTCCATTCCAATAAATGACTCGGGGGGGGGGATCAATATTCAATCAAACTGTAGATTACACTGAAAATTTCTGTCTCTAATATGAAATTTAATGTCAATATTCACATTTATTATGATGTTATTGATATTTTTACTGATAACGTTCATTCTGAAATGACGTCCAATCGACTTTTTATATCGGCTTAGAATCCAGAATAACACGGACTAGGCAGTGACGTATATTTGTGGGTAGCATTACCTTATATTACAAAACATTACTGCTTGGTTCTGTCACACACTTAATCTATATACCGTTTATTAAAGCTGAGGTCTACACATGCTGTTTATGTCTCTACTGAAAGTTAAACACGGATTCTTAAGTAACTAAATTAGTGCGATCGATCGATTCTATAATTTATCAAAATCGCCTGAGTCTGTGCCATGGCCCAATGCGAGTTGTCTTTCTTTGAATTGAAGTCGTTTGCTGAGCGGAGTAGTCGAGCGAGACGACGAAGCTTAACTTTCGCTAAACCAGTGTACCAGTATACACTTTTATCACTTTCACACAAAAAGAAAAATACTTTTTGATTTTATATCATAGAAAAAGTAAGAGAATGGTGGATGTTCCATGTATACAAAAACAGCGGACAGGAAGTGATATTCATCAAGTACGACAATATTTTCTTCCTACGTTAATATCTCCCGTGATAGCTCAGTTGGTAGAGCGGAGGACTGTAGTGGTATAAGTCAAAGCTATCCTTAGGTCGCTGGTTCGACTCCGGCTCGCGGGATTTCTTTTTCTTTTCTAAAATTTTTCTTGAAAAAATATGCAATACGAATGATCCCCCAATTAAATGGAGACTATTAATCAATTTTCTACTTAAATAATAAGACAAATTGTACCACATTTGGTGTATCTAACTAAATATGTTAAGGTCTAACAGCTAAAGTTTCTGATACATAACTTTTGTTGTGATGATGATTTTCTAACCGGTGAGATGATAGAAAGCAATGAAAAGCTAAAAATAGTGTGTTACGGTTTCTTTTACCTCTGCAGGCATCAGAATATTATGCATATACATATGCCATTTTTTTTTAAAGAACAGG